CAGAAATTTTGTTTTCAAGGAACTAAAATGTAATTGAAGCTACCATCACTGAACTAGGAGGTATAAGATTTGGGTCTCGCCAGGCGTAGTAGCACACACCTGTCATCCCAGCACTCGGGAGCTGAGGCAGGCAAATCACTGTGAGTGGAGGCCAGCCTGCAGTACACAGCAAGACCCTGTCTCAATAGCCACCCCCTTGCCCCTAAAAATGATTTAGGTCTAGCTAATTAGTGTGTGGGGCTTTGTTTTGTTTTGTAAGCTGGTTAACTTTTCCATGTCTCAGGCTCCTCCTTTGATAGAGGAATTTAATAGCAATGGGAATATGGCTGAAATGACCTCTCAGACCTCACAGAGTGTAACAGGCAAGTCTCAGTTTTGTTGCATCCAAATGTCTCCTTAGTGCTGCCTTGGTTCTCACGTGGCTTTAAGGACCTGCGGGTCCTGTAAGGCTGGGCAAGGAAGGAAAGGGGAAAGAAGCTCAGGGGGCTGCGGGCTTGGACAGTGTGCAGGGCTTCCCTCATCCTCTGAAGTCTTCCATGTGTAACGGCCCAGGGCCACGAGGGAGTGCAGCAGTCCTATCCTCACTGTGATCATTGCTACCACTGCATTTCCATAGCACTTTCTGACTGGGCCAGCTATCTGATATTTACTGTGCGCCACACTGACTTATCTTTCTGCAATGGTTGTTTGAGATTAGTGTCTATAATAGTCTCCAGGGTCATTCACCAAATACGGTAGTATAGCTCCTCATTTCTGCAGGTGGTAGAACAGCCCAGCCCTCTTGTGATTGGCAGAGAGGGGTCACATGACCTGTTCTACCTAGCACCTAGTGAGCAGCAGAGACATTTTGCACTTCCTGGAGGACTACTAACTGCCTGTGCAAGACCCTCCCAATGTCATTTTGCTCCCTGCTTGTCACCAGCTGTGTTCCAGATAGTGACTTTTCAGTCATCTTGGACATAGGAGCAAGAATGGTGCTGATGTAGAGTGAGCTCCCTACACACCTGCTATGTGTGAACAGAAACCTTTGCTATTTTATCTTATTTATCTATTTATTTGTTGGTACCGGGACTCAAACTCGTGACCTCAGGCTTGCCAGGTAAGCACTTATACCACTGAGCTATATCTCTGGCCCACCTTTCCTATTTTAATACCTCGGGATTTGGGGATTGCTTAGTACAGGAACATGTCTGTATTAGTCACTTTCCAGTTACTGTGACAAATTACCAGACACCCACCATTTAAAGGAGAGGTTTACTTGGTTTATAGTTTTTAGTGGGTTCAGTCCATGGTTAGCTAGTTTCAAGGCAGAAATGGCATGATAAAAGCATGGCAGAAGAAAGCTGCTCACCTTACAGCAGCCAGGAAGCAGGAAGGACCCAGGGACAGGAATATATTCTTCCAGGTCCCCTCTAGCGACCTACCTCTGAACAGCACATGGAGCCATGGACTCATCAGTGGATCTGTCTACTGGTGAGTACAGCACCCTGTGATCCAATCACCTTCCAGAAGCCCCACCTCTGTACGTATGAGCCCTTGGGGGACATTTTGGATCTAAACCATAACAGTGACCTAGTTAATTTTGACTAATGTAGGATCCTGTCTGACAAATAAACAACTTACCGAATTCATCTATTTATCTTCCTGATTGGAGTAGGAATTATCCATAGCCTATCTGCCCTCCCTAGAGCACCTGCTCTTGTACATAGGAGTTACTTAGTAAAGATTCTTGGGTTGATGTATGTATATAGAAGTCCCAAGAAACAGTAGAACATCTGAGCCAAAGAAGAGTGTGTAGGTAGTGTTATTTGCCTATGTGTCCCTGGCAAGCAGTCCAGGGAGCTCAGGAAGCAGGAGCACCAGGACATCTCCCTGCACCCATCTTCCATCTCCTTGGGGTCTACCTCTGATCCCTCAGTCTCCTTGCAGGTATAAATAAAGCCTGGCCTGTGTGTCACCAGAGAAGAGCTCAGAGCAGAGACGGGGCAGAAATAAGCCATGGCGGGTCAGGCAACAGCCAGCAACAGGACAGCGGACCCGGGGTGCAGTGAGGAACAGCTTGGGAATGAGGTGAGAGCCGGGCCGGGGCAGGGCTGGCAGAGCTCTGGAAGGTTTTCATGTCATTGTGCTACCACACATTCCGCCCCACGGCCCAGGTGGCTAAATTCTGCTCAGTGGAGCATGTGAGGAATGTACGGTAGCCCCTGTCCAGGCAGACCTTGCCGAAGCCCATTAGCATTCTATAAATGGCCACGAGGAGCAGAATAGCGTTAACATGAATATTAACACCCCAGCCTAAGGTTCCGGCCCTGCTTCTCTGCTGCCTTTAGCCAAGCTAAACAATGTCCACAGACTGTTTCATGTTTGATCAGAGTATAAATCACCAGATTTGGAGCATCTGTCTCTCTCACACCCTCTTTTGAGATGAGTCTGGTAGGGAAAAGTTACAGAAGAATATCCATCCACCACAAAATGGCTTTTTAGAGTATTAACTCCAGTTACACTGTCTGCCTGCTGGAAGGTGCAGCATTTCTCCAGAAACACTTCAAACACATCCATAGGCCCTAAGAGGCCTCAACTATCAGTTTCCAAACTATTTTATCTGCTGTCAGGCACCTGCTCTTTTTTGTCCCAGAGTCAGCATGGGCATTCCTGCTTGTGAGTTGAGCCCTGTGTTCTCTTTGCTGCCTTTTCCAACTCAAACGCTCGTGAAGGTGATGCCTTCCTAAGCTCCCAGAGCAAGGGATGGGCCTCTCCCTGCATCTGCCACACTGATCGCTCTGTCCTGGGGATGATGGTTTCTCTTTCACTCCTTTTCCTATGAGCCGCAATCTGATTTTATCTTGCTATGCAGCTCAGGCTGGCCTTGAACTCACAATGATCCTCCTGCCTCAGCCTCCCTAGTGCTGGGATTACAGGTGTGTGTCACCACACCCAGCAATCAGCCATAATTTTAAAAGGGCTGTAGATGAAAAAGTTAATACTACATAAAGTATGAAATAGAAGACAGATGATAGGGAAAGTGAAAGAAAAAAGTTACTGTAGTCTGTTTCTTCTGTCAGTTTCTAGTTTTACCCCAACGTGGTGTGAGAGCTCATTTCACAGGATTTCCATTTCATTGGGACATGTGAAGGTATTTATTGTTACTATCAGCGTGGTCTACCTTGAATAAAAAAAATAAATTCCTAGACTAGGAAAATCTATGAAGATAGAGAGTAGCTCAGCGAGTGCCTAGATTTGGGGGGACGGCGTGCTTGGGAGATGAGAACTAGCAGATAGAGTGCTTTGCTTTGGAATACCAAAATGATCTAATTTTGATCGTGGCCATGCTTGTACAACTCTGTCAATAGGCTAAAATTCACTGAATCGTATACTTGAAGTTTGCAAATTGCAATGTATGCAAATTTTTGTTCAATAAGGCTGTTATTTAAAAAAATAAAATGAGAATAAAATCTTGAACTTCATCACATCCTTACCTCCTCTCCCCTCTCTCATAATAAGGAATAACCAGACCATTGTTTGGAGCCAAAGAGCACTTTACTCAATACATACACAGCTTACCGTGCTGTCCCGAGTGTCCTACGCAGGGCCAAGGGAAGGGTGAAGCGGGCCCTAATTACTGACTGAACTTTACATTCTTTGCCTTCTCCCTGCAAGGGCTTGTTTTCTTTTCACATGAAAACTTAAAGTTGTGGCCAAGTTTAAGAGTAGGAAGATGAAAAGTTTATGTAGAAATAAGGGTGTAATAAAGGCAGGAAGCTGGTGTGTTTGCATGCAGATCACCAGCATCCCCGGGCCCCTGCCTCTACTAACACAGTACTGGGGATTGAACCCCCAGGCTTTCAAACTGAGCTACATCCCCAGTCTTTTTAAATTTTTTGTTTTGAGACAAGAATTGCTACATTGCCCCGGATGGGCTTGAACTCAAAATCAACCTGCCTCAGCCTCCCAGAGTTCTGGGATAGCAGGTGTTTTCTACCACACATGGTCTCCCCTTCCCTTTCCTCCTGCCCTTTCTCTGGACAGGGTCTCACTCTGTATTCCAGGCTGGTCTCAAATTCATGGTGGTCCTCCTAGCTCAGCCTCCCTAGTGCAAGTGCTGGATTCAGGCATGTGTTACCATGCCTGGCTATTTCTCCATTTTAATACAAGGATCCATTCAGTACAAAGCAGGCATTTCGTTTGATGAGGTCTTTTTGTTGCACCCACCCTGCAAGACTTGTAATAGAAGGGAGACTGATGATGGCTACCTCTGAGACTTGGTCTGTTCCCACAGAGGAAGAGTTAGCTAAGAGGGAGACGCTATCTTTCTAATCCACGGGGTTGGGGATGTAGCTCAGCGGCACCATACCTGCCTGGCAAGCACAAGGTCATGAGCTCAATTCCTGGTACCCTTACCCAGGACAGGAGGCAACAGCGATGGAAGTCTGTAGGTTATGTTTTAGAGCAGTCACTGAGATAGCGAAGGTCCTATTTAATGTATTTGGAGTCCTGCTGGGGTGGGGAGTGCGAATAGGATATGTCAGAAGTTCAGTGTGTCCTTCGTAAACTTTCCTATTTAATACACTAAAGAGGAGGGACTTAGGTCGATGTTTTTGAATCCCAGGTATTTCTGTTTGCTTGTAAGATTTGACCCACCCGAGCATAGAGAGGTTATCTGTTTTAAGGTAGTCACTGAGATGGCAAAGGTCCTGTTTAATATATTTGAGAGAGACAGAGATAAAGAGATAGAGAGATAGATGGTGTGGAACACCAGCTATTCAAGGGTTCCTAAGACATCCTAGATATCTATCTAGACCTCCCGATGGGGCTGGAACTCCGGTAAGGGGACTTCTGTTTGGGTATAAGATGTAACGGGTGCAGATGAACTTAGTAACAGAAATAGTATTTAGTGTAATATTTAGCATTTTAGAAATGTGGCTATCCTGTCACCCTAAAATTTAACATTTTTCTTTCTAAGACATTGCATTATAATATTTATTTTGATTTTTGAGAAGTACCTCATTCATCTCGTTTCAGTGCTGCCCCTTCTTCCCAAGTGCATTTTCAGACGTTCAAGCCCCATGAGCCACTACCTTCCACTACATACCCTGAAAAGAGGAAAAAGAGCTTAAGTAAAATTGAACTGTTGTACCGGAGGTGATGGGGGCACACACCCAACACTCAGGAGGCTGAGACAGGAGAGTCACGGGGAGCTCGAGGGCAGCCTGGGGTTCAACACCAGCTGGAAGTACATCGCGAGACCCTGTCTCAAAAAAAAAAAAAAAAAAAAAATTGTGGAACTGAGTAGCGAGGGAGAAAATTCCAGTGATTAAAGAAATGCAAATTAAACAGCTAGGAGGCATCCCTGCTTGTGCTTCTCAAACTTTTTAAAACATCACATCTCCTTGGTGGGAGTGGCCACGTGAGCCATACTTGTAAAGACTTTTTACATATGAAGGATCACAGCTGTCCCCAAGACCGCGTTTTGCACCATCTCTATCCAGCTTCCCAAAGCACGGGGTCGGCTCCAAGAAATACGTATTTGTAAGCCCTGGGGGAACGACCGCAGGCATCAGCTTTTCAGGCTCTTCTGGGGCTAGAGGATTTGCCTCAATGGCCTCGGGACACTTTTGATCATTTTGGGGACCCGTGTGGTGCACCTGATGTCCTCTTCTTACAGGGGACCATCTCCCTTCTCGCCTTTAGGCCTTTTAAAGCCATAGGCAAGGATAATATTTTTGTACTACTTTTACATTTTGGTCTGTACTAATCAAACCCGCCAGATAAACACTCAGCTCACGGCGATCCCCACAAACTCTCCGATTTGACTTGGCAAAGGGGCGAGGGTGGCGGTTTTGTCTTCCCAATCGTGCGGCCCCGGCTCGGGGTCCCCCTTCCCCACGCGGTCCCCGCCCTCCCCGGTTCCCTGTCCCTGGCGCGGGCCGCCCCTCGCCCCGCCGCCTTGCGCGTCCCGAATCCCCGCGGAGGAAATTCTCCCCCGGCCGGCCAGGCTAGCCCTGCGGGACCAGCCGCCCCGCTGCTCCGGGCGAGAGTTGAAAGGTCACGGAGGAAATTAGCGCGAACGCAGCCCCTGCCCCCGGGCGGGCGCGCCCCGCTTTCCCGCTGTCAGCGCGCGGGTCCGAGCCCGGGGCCCCTAGGGGGCGCAGCCGAGGTCCGGCGGCGATCGCGGGATCCCTCGGTGGAAAACAAACAAGACACCCAAGGCGAGCGCGGCCGGGGCTTCAACCAACCTTCCGCTTGTCAACAGGTTCTCGCCGCCGGAGAAGTCCGGGGCACGTCCCGGCGGGGAGAATGTCCCCCGCAAACGGAGGGAGCGCTAGCCGCCGGGGGCCCGCCCCTCCCCCTCCGCGGCGCCGCGCGTCCCGGGGCGCAGGACGGACAGGCCGGGTCCGCAGGCCGCTCCCGCCCGCAGCGCCGGGCTGGGCTCCGGGAGGCTCGAGGTCTTCGGGGCAGTGAGGCCCCCGCTGCTTCTCGGTCCCCTGCTCTACACGGCCGTGCTGGCCGCGAGCCCGCGCGTCCCCGGGTGGAGATCAGCGGTGCGAGTGCCCTGGCACCCGCGCGCCCCTCCCCGGGTCCCCGCGCCGGTCCCCGCCCGGCTCCCCCGAGCGCCGCCGCGACCAGGGCAGGCCGGCCCCGCCGTCTGCCCTGCTCTCCTCCGCTCACTTTTCCCGTATTGCTCCCCCAACCGGTAAAACTTTCTATTTCCCCAAACACTGGCGCGCGCGCGGGCGCGCGCCTGCACACACACACATACACACACACACACACACACACACACGCACACACTCGCGCGCGCACACACACACACATACACACACACACCACACACACTGACGTCTTTTGCGCATTTCCTGCATTGGAGGGAGGGAGGCTCGATCGCACA